CGCCAGCGTCGAAGACGCAGCGCATCCATCCTTGTGGTCTGCCTCCCTGCCGCCGCAGGCACGCAGTCACAGAACGTACACTACTAGCAGGTGTTCTGTACTACTAGTACGTGGTACACTCACGGCTGCGCGCCTGTGCAAAATTCCTGTGCTCATAATGGGGAACTGTGCCTTATTTGGTTGCTTCAATCACTCGAGTAAGAAGGCTAGTCATGACAATGCGTCTGATGTCGGCTTTTTTTTTTCATGCCTAAAATAATTGTACACCAATCGAAAAGGTTTGAATGGTTCAGCCACACACTATGCCGCGTGTGCGTTAAACATTTCATTTTCGGTAAGTGTTCAGAATCCTATGCAACATCATAGAGGCTCGATTTTGTGGTGAAAAACTTAGGTTTTCGCGACGTGCGCTATTAAGCTTTGTTTACGCAGCAAGAGACGAGCGTGCGGACTACGACCTGCGATCGCTGCTTATCACCGGTATCATTCTGGTAGGTGTGGCGTGTTACTGATTTCGGTGTGTTAGTAAACAGTCAGTGACGCAGTGCGTTCTCGCTTATCCATGCTTTGACGAGCTGAGCACATAAAAGGTGATATCACATTAACGTCAATCATTGAAACACATTAACAATCGAGACCGTATGTGATCTCTGGGTGCGCAATTGCCCGACGCGCGTCGTTGGACCCTGCAGCAAAGAGCATTTTTGATCGCAAGCGGCTTGGGCTCAACCATGAACAAACTATGACAATTGTATCACCTCACATGCTCTTGCAAATGGTGAAGCCCTTCCACATAAAGAATTCGTGAAGCGACACCACCGCAGCGAAAAAAAAAAAAAAAGAATCATTCGTCCGAGCACTGAGCAAGGAAAAGCAGTCACGTTTCCGACGTCGACGCAGCGGCCGTCTCCGAGGTCTCTAACTCGATGCTGTTGGACCCATCCGCTAGTGACATAGTTGTGGGCATCCATCAATTTACAGGCTTTAAGCTCGTCCCTTGTTGCAAAGCTTGTGCCACCAACAAGGTGGTCCTTAATGTCCGTGAGCTTGATGCGGGAATACACTTCACATCCCACACAGCTTCATCGCTGCTGAAGTCGAACGGGTCGATATCCACCGCAAATGTGAACGTTATGTTCGTAGCAAAGTTTCGCCGGACGTCGGAAGTCACGCGCGTAAGCACTCAGTCAAATTTCACCACGTTGGTACCGTACGTAGCGGCACGCACACAACCTCTCACTGCCGCTCGCCGCTTCAAAAAGGGCGCGCTTAGACCACTGACATGGCGGTAGAGGCAAATGCCACTAGCGCCTCAAGCGGATGACGTCACGTGCAACCCTCCTATACCGGGTCCTACGCAATGGGTTGAGAGTCCTCCAGGCAGAGGAAGGTTCACCACTGGGGCGACGCGTCACAGCCCCTCAAAGCCCGCCTGTACCCTGTTTAGCATACTGGTGGGTAGCCGGCTGGAACTGGGGACCGAACCCCGCACCTCCCGTAGCTGAAGCGGACGCGTACGTGCAATGCCAAAGCTACGGTTAATGTATCAGTATGCACTTTGCTAAGACATGTTTGGTACTCGCTATCTGTGTGCGATATAACGTTTGTTGTGTGTGAAAGTAATATTTTGTGGTATCTTTTATTGATGTGTCAGCGATGGCAGCTGTTCATGGTCCCGACACAGAGAACAGGTTGCAGTGTGCGATTGGAACGATCTTCCTGCAAGCCCTAATGAGCCTTATTAAGCGGTAGGCATTTTTTTTTTGTTACCACAGAGTGATATTTCGAACACATAGCATCTATTGAGGTATAGCATACACTGTCTTTTAGCTTAGGTGTGGGAAGCCTATGTCCTGCACTTCAGTGCAGTATTCCTTGGACATGGAACATGCATCATTTGGTTTGTAATCCTTGAACATGAAATGTTGCCGGAGCCAACGTTGTGACACTTGGAGGGGTCTTGATAATGGGAACTGCCGTTCCTTGTCACTGCTGTCTTGAGCAAGGCAAGAGTTCTTGTTAAAGGGTTGCACAAGGAAAAACATTCAGCATTGTTTGTTAAACGTTAGGTAATATTTAGCTCAACATAACACAAGGATGAGACCGGTGCACTTTAAACAAAATGGGTTATTGCAACGGAAGCACAAAAATTTACGGCATGATGCTCACCCTGTATTTTTTAGTGCTTCGGTTGCAATTAACCATTTTATATAATGTTGGGGCACGTGCTGCGTCCTCTCTCATGGTCTTTGTGTTACATTGTGCTAAATATCACATAAGTTGGAATGTTGGCTGCAGCGACATTCCCTCTTATAGGATTTGTTGGTCTTTTCAAGTTTCCTCCATCAACATCTATTTTGTTTGGACTGCCAAGAAATTGTGTGCAGTGAAATCTTACTTATAATCATGTTTCGCTTATTGTCGTGATGATTGCTTTTACCTTATATTTTTTTAGTGAAAGTAAAAGATTCTTTAACTAAGTTCTTTTTTTCACAAGTAGAAGTGTCATTCATTTTTTATGCTTCTTAAAGGGACTGCAGACATCATGGAGTCTAAAAATTTAATGAATATAAATAAGCACACTTTTGCTATGTGCACACTCTGCCGCAAAAATTCGGCGAATTCGTGTTCAAGGAAGTCACGGGGGTTGTTGTTTCAGCTCGTTTTCGAATTTTCACGTGTATGAGCAGATTTGTGGTATTTTTTAAGTTGTAGTGCAATCTTGTTTTAAGCAACATCGTGCAACATGAAAGTACTTATTACTTTCTCACAAAGCCTTCTCAGATAATCCTTATGCCTGAGAGTTTGATCATCTGAATTAGGGACAGCTTTTCTTGGGAGGCAGCACATACTCATGTTTTATCACTTTGTTTGGAACATGTTCCCACTATAATCTATGACAATACCATGAATGTGTTTATGTAACACAGCTCACAAGACATAGAGGCCTATCATACAGAGAAGTGTAATCTGTGTGATAGTGCCTTGAATAGCCTTGTTGGACTGCAAAGTTAAATTGTTGAATGAATTCATGCTCTTTTGGAAGTACACTACTCACGGATTGAAACAGGACACTCGGAGCGTGTGGCCAACGGTACATGTGCCGCCGCTCGTCGGTGCGCGCAGAACCAATATGTTGCGTTGTGGTATAGGGCGATACGGGGACGACCTATGGAGCATGGCTACTCCTTCCGATTGCCAAATTGTCGGCCTGTAGTTCTCGTGTATACTACCAGGGCAGCGCTGCAAGGTTCACGCACATTCGCATGTCTACCAAACTGTCTCGCCGCTGCGCACCACTTTTTTTGCCACGCCAGCAGACGACCCTCTCGTTCTGCGAGCTTAGGCAATGCACTACACATGCTGTGCAAGTAAGACGAAGGATTCAGTTAGTAGATTGTGCCTTGTGTGCGTTTGTAGACATGATAAACGTCTGCACAAAACCATGAAAAGTTTACTTCGTGGTTTCAGTCTCGAAAAGAAAGAAAATATGCGGCATGCTTTCCTTCATGCAACATGGAAATAATGTCATGTATTAGTGTCGTTAAAGCAAACTGCGGCCTATTGTTGAATAAAAATGTGAGAAGCTCGCTCGTTCTGTGGCCGACAGCTCTACAAATGCTTGCCGCGCAAAATAGCCGCACTATTCACTGCTTGGGGTGAGACAAGAAAGTACTTAGTTATTGTTTTATTTCTGCACGGAAACAGGCCCGTGGCTGGTGCTTTTCTTTTTCGTTGTGACAAAAAGCTTGAAAAACTTTTTATGCTTTTGTGCAGCTATTTATTATGTCAACGAGCGCATTTCAGGCGCAACATCTTAGTGGTATCCAATTACTTACTTGCGCAGCCTACGTGCCCCATCGTCGAAGGGTGCGATCGAAAGCGTTTTCTGCTAGCGTCACAACATAAATGCTTCGCACAGTCCCCATCGATTCGAGCTGCATGCATGCAAAAATGCGCGAGCCTTGCAGAGTCACGATGGAAGTGTGCACTTTGTGAACTAAATGCCAATTCTTTAGCGACCAGCGACCAAAAGGAGTAAGCCTGCTCTTTAGCTGTTTTTGCCCTCACTCTATACAACAGTGCAGCATATTGGTTCCGCTAGCACCCATGAGCAGCGGCACATGCATTGGCGGCCATGCGCTACGAATGTCCTGTTTCAATCCGTGAGTACTGTACATATATGTGGACCATACTGGGCATGTTGGTACGTAGTTGGGAGGAAACAGGAGTGCAAACAAATACATGGACTGCTGCATCCATTATTCTTTCTGTGTCGGCGTCTTAGCTCATGATGCTGTTCACTCCTGAGTGTACACTTTATTTTCTCGCTGAGCTCCTACATACACTCTAAGTTGTATTATCTTTTTGACGTAAGGGTTCAGGCAATATTTTTGGCATCTGCATGGTATAAAATAGTCATGAGTTCAACACTGTGATGTGCTATTTCTTTAAATACTTGAGTAACGCAAGTGTTTGGTCGGGTTGGTAAGTCATCGCCTCGATACTTTTGTAAGGTACGGCAAATTATCAACAGAGAAAAGAGAGAGGACACAAAGTAGTGCTAGCTCGTGTTGTCGCCCTTTTGATTGTGCATGTTTTTTCTGCTGTTGAAAGTTTTCTTTAGAAATAGTTCCTATCCTTGTCCTATCAAGACATTCAGTAAATGCCAACACACTCCAGTGTAGATTCTTGTGCTTATTAATGACCAGCGATCAATTTCATAATTTCCAATACTGGCTAGTGATCATGGGCAACTGTGCACTCTAAAGCATGGAGCTGGGTAAAAATATTTCTTTTTTTATTAAGCTTTTGTCACATTTTCAAGGTATCTAAATAATGTATTTTTAGCTATTGAGTAATATGCAGTAGTGATCCAGCTGCGCCATTTGCGCCAATTCGCTACAATTATACCTTCCTGAGCTTTACTGCTTAAGTGTTGTTTTGTTTGCGCCGAATGCGCCAAATTGCACGAAAGAACCCGACTTTAGCGGATGTTCATTTTGCAGTTGGCAACAAGTGATTTCTTTTCTAGGTTGGCAATTGTTCACCATGTGCTTTGCAGCTTTGGTATTCGTCGGTGTCGTTCGGCTGTTTTCTGTAGGTTTTCGCGCTCATGCACAGCACGTCGTGTCGTTGCATGTGCGCCATGTGCTTGTGAACAAACAGTCAGCGAATGTTTGTCATCCCCCCGCTGTTGAAATGGACAAAAGTAAGTCGCTTTCTTTTTAAATTTTGTGGCATTTCTTAATAGCGCCCGTGAAATACTTTAGTGAATGCTTAGGCGATCGCGTAGCGCTGCTGGCATTTATTACCGGCCGCACTTTGCTATTGAATCAGTACAGAAGTTGCAACTTGCCTATAGTTCTTGCGATTTCTCGCTACTGATTGTTTTTGTGTTCGGAGTGTCCGAGCGCTGTACGTAGGCTTAGGAAGGTGCGCCGTGCCTTGTTTCGTGGTGCGGAATATCCGCGTTTGAAACGCGCAATCGCTCGTACGGCATGCAGCAGTTACACCTCCTACATGCTACCGTTCGGAACATATAATAGTGCGAAACGAACGAGCGAGTGACGCGGAATACACTATGAATTTCTGCAGGCGGGTCGCCTTTGTTGACGTTAGCAGATCGCTAGATGGGCCGTATGTGCTGCCGGCGCGTCACGGATCGGGCGCCCCACCGTGCGAGCTGCTTGTAGAATAGTCGGAAAAGAGTGATTGAGCGTCGACCATGTCAACACAAGCAAGTCAATAAGCACCGTAATGTTACCGCATTAGCGGCCGCCGATCGTTGGGAATCCGCTATTCGTGACGTGCCGTTCCCAATCAGCTTTTTTAAATATTTAAATTAAGGAAAACATTGCTGTCGATTTCTGCTCTGGTCATCGCGCGCCGCGCCGGAAGGAAGCAAACCTCCAACATACATTAGCGCCTTATGCCGCCTTGCCAGCTGGGGCAATGCGTTTGTCTGCGGCCGTCAGACCCACGCGTCATCCGCATGGCAACTTCCTGTAAGTTGGTCGCGAGTTTTAGGTGTGAATGGTCGACAGACAAACTGGCATCCCGATTCGCGCCATTTGTCGAGGCTGTACCCAAAATGCTTGCGCAAATATTTGGTGTTGGCGCCTTAGAGTTGGTATTTAGATCTTCCAATGAAGTAAGATTGGCATTATGTTACGGGCTACCCTAAAAATAAATCTAGTAGTTACGTGCTCTTTTACTAGCGTGCCTTTGTCGTGGGAAAATTTACAAGAGTGGAACCTTGGGCTAGTTGGTGCGTAGTCACATTTGCAAGATTTTTATACTGACGCATTGACTAGGCTTGTATTTTGTCATGTTTTTAATCATCCTTTTTGGGCATATATATTCTTGCCACTCTGTGATATAAAGTTAGAAGTCAGTGTTCTTTCTGTCTACCCTGTTGCTTTTACCTATATTCACGCTCTGAAAAAAAACTTGGGAAAGTTTACTGTCATAAAGTTCGTTTCGCTCATGTTTTCAGATCGCAACACCAAGTTCAACGCCTCTGTACTCAACGAGGTGGACTCCAATAATGATCCGATCAGTCGGTGGTGCAAGAGTGGAACCCGAAATACAGATGCATTTTGTATTCTTTGCAACTGCACCATTTCTTGTGCACAGCATGGAGCGGCAGCAGTGAAGCGTCATGCTGGGATGAAGAAACAAATTGATGCAGCTGCTAGACACAGAGACAAGGACGGGAATCTTCTTCCACCCAAATTGGTGCAAGGCACACTGGACTTCTCCAACGGGTCTGCTAATACATCACTTGAGCACCAAGTCAGCAAGGCAGAAACTACTTTTGCTTTGTCTGTTGTGGCCAAGGGAATTCCTTTTTCATGGGGAGACACGGCAACTTCGATTTATCACTGCATGTTCCCCGACAGTGACATTGCCAAAAGTTTAGTTGCGGCAGAATAAAGTTGGCCCGCATTGTATCAGATGGACTGGGTCCCTACTTTAAAGGACAAGTGGTGACTGAGCTGTGCCAGCCAAATGTCTATTTTTCCATTATGATTGATGAGACGCCAAAGCCAGAGCTAAGGGTGCAGCAACTAGATGTGCTGGTACGCTATTTTTCCAGCAGCCAACAGGAAGTTGTTGTTGAACATGTCCAGTCATTTGATCTTGGGCGTGCAACCGCTGAAATAATTGTTGGCTGCATAGAAGAAGCAATAGCAGATCTTCCAAAGCAAGGACTTGTTTGCTTTTTCAGTGATGGCCCTAATGTTATGAAGAGCGTAAGAAACAAGCTTCAGAAGCATGTGGCACCAAGTTTGATTGATATTGGCAACTGCAATCTTCATAAAGTTCATAATGCATTTGGCAGAGGCCTGGATGCATTTGGCTTAGATGTAGAAGTAGTGAGAAATATTTACTACTACTTCAAAGGTGCTGTCCGCGCTGAAGCACTCAGAGAATGCCAGGATACTTTGGGAATCTCTTGTCATGTATTTCTGCGCCACGTTTCTAATCGCTGGCTGACGCTACAAGACTCACTTTGTCGAGTTGGGGAACAGTTTGAAGCGCTTCGCACCTATTTTTTTAAGGGCAATTCATCTCGTCAACGACCTGACACCCAAAGCCTACACAACAAGCTTGTGTCGGCATTTTCTGAGAAACAACTTTTGGCCAAAGTGTTGTTCCTTAAGAACTGTGCGCAGCTTTTCAGTGGATTTCAGCTGCTCTTCCAAAAGCAAGAGCCGCTCTTGCACATACTTCACGTTGAACTTATTGTTCTAGTCCAACGAGTCCTCAGTCGGTTTCTTCGTCATGAAGCCTTTGCAGACAAGAGCGCTGAACAACTGAAAAGGCTAGATGTGATGGATGCATCCCTTTGGAAATCGATGCCGGAAGTTGGTACAGATACTGAAAAATCAATGCTTGAGTGGGACTCTAGTGAGAAGAAGCGGTTTTATCTTGGAGCACGTGCTTTTTACTTGGCCTGTGCCAAGGATCTTCTTCAGAAGCTTCCACTCGACAATAGAGTTCTTCAATCTGCTAGCCTCCTCAATTGGCAGTCAACAAATGTTGAATCGGAAGTGCGAGCACTGAAGTACCTTGTGTCTCAGCTTCCACAGGTAATCAAACATGAAGAAGTTTCCTCAGCCATCGATGAGTGGTATATGTTAAAGTGTGACTCCAACAGTGACCTCCTGGCACTTGGAGGTGAAAGAATTGATGTTCGTTGGGGCAAAATATTTAAACTGAAGTCTCCTGGAGGTCAACCAAAGTATCCATTATTGTCGAGGCTTGTCAAGTGTCTGCTGTGCCTGCCACATGACAACGCAGACTGCGAACGAGGATTTAGCGAAAATAAGTGCTTTTATGAGAACCGCTACTCATTATGCATTGCAAGCATTAACGGGTTGTGCCAGACAAAGACATACCTCCGCAGGTATGATGGAGATGCCACTAAAGTTCTCTTGTCTACAGAGCTTCTGCATAGTGTAAGGAGATCTAGAGCCCGATACACAGAGAGAACTGCAAGTGCACAGCAGTCAGAAAGCAGGAAAAGGCTTGGAGACCAAGACACTGGTGCTGATGTCGACGAAAAGCGACTTCGTAAGAACTTGGAAGAAAAGGTCACCTCAAGTAGGGCATTGCTGAAACGAGCAGAAGACATAATTTCTTCTGGTCTGCGTTCTAAGAGCCTGGAACAAGTTGAAGCTGGGCAAACTTTATTAGCTGAAGGCAACTCCGCTTTGAGCCAAACCCTCTCACAGCTGGAACAACTAAGCAAGAAGGTGAGCAAGAGGACGTAAATGCTGCAACATGCACATCTTTCTTCTGTAAATAAATGAAAGTTCAAAACTCTCCTTAGAGTTCGGTTTCTGGGAATTTTCGTCGTAGCTTTTAGTGTACTTTAATCAACTAATGCTACACCTGCACTACCTTCATTTTCAGTAGTGCATTAAATCTGATGGACTGGTCCATTTCTTGGTGGCTTTTAAAATGGGCATGCACGTGACACTATAATTAATAATTGAGAATTGAGACAAATACGGTTTTATAGAACTGTGGTTGCTATCACAGCTTTAGTTTCAGCAATAATGAGAGATGTATTTTTGTAAAATAAGTTGCTGCTACAATTGCTGCTCCAAAATCGAGTGCCGATACAAAGGTGCTCCAAAAGAGCATTTTCTCTGTTCCAAAAATTGCTCCAAAAGTTGAAGTGGCTGGATCACCACTGAATATGCAAAAATAATCAAGGGTACAAAAATGTTTTGCTTGCTCCCCTCGATCTGTTGCTTGTAGAAAGTTGTGTACAAACAACCTGTAACATGTTACAACCTGCATATCTGTGTAATATACTGTAGGTTACAAAAAGCACATTTTTTTAAATTGTTTTCACTAGAGTTGTGTAGCTGTATCACCTAGACGTAGCTCTACATTTCATGGGCCTGTTTGTTGCTCAATTTCATCTTGCACATAGGTGTGCGCATATGAGTGGGGGCAGCCCCCTCTCTCCCAACTTGTTAACTAAGACGGGGGCTAGAAAATTGGAAGCTTACTTAACCAAGTAAGGGGGAGTGCCGTGGTGAACCTCCCTGCCAGCCAAGTGTAGGAAAACCCTGCACGCGCCTAAGACTTTGCACCTCTGAGCATGAGCCCTCAATATAGTTCTCAGTTAAAGAAGAGGGATTTTAATGTGGAAGCTTTGTGTAAAACAAAGTTGTGGAATATAGACCCACTGTTGCATGCCGTAGTCATACAATAAAGTTGTGGAATATAGACCCACTGTTACATGCCGTAGTCATACATTGAGTGCCATTGGAATCGTCAAAGGAGGTTATTCTGCAAAATTGCCTTAGAGAAGCTGACTCAGCTGATTCCTCTGTTCGTGATAGCTGGCTTCTCTCCAATTACTGATCGATCAGCAGCCCTCTGAACTGATGTATACTGGTTAGCTTTTTTTTTCAACGCAGCATGAAGTCAAGGCTATGTGGTTTGACATTGAATCCAGAGGGATTATTTATTATAACTGATAAATGTATATCACTATTTAAAAAACGCATAACTCATCAATTGTAATGTCTATTCGTGTGCTGCGCTAAAATGTATGCTTCAGCGCCTTCTAAGTTTTTATCTTCTCTCTTGCAGGTTTTAAATACAGCAGCGGTGCCACCACGATGGTGCTATAAAAGGCCCTATCATCAGTGCAAAGTCCAAAATTAAATACAAATGCAGTTATTCCTGGAAATGTCCCATTTGGTGTTCCTTTGTTTGTTTGTACTTATAAAACAGGACTTTCGCAAGAATTGTAAACAAGGACGAACTAGCTCCACTTATTGTCCTATCCGAACTGAATTGCTTGACAATGTAATGCGTGTTTCCAAATGCAGGCATTATATACTTCCAGCGTTATCTATTGGCTTCGAAAGATTCTGATGTGTAAAAAACTATGATCTGTTCATTGGTGGAAGTGGTTTGATGGTATTTCCTTTACAATCCTGTAATTTGTGCACACTTTCATATAATTAATGAAGCGATTTATTGATCTGCTTTTCAGCAAATGTTCTGTTGATGGCATAGGACCATAGTCTACAAAGCGGCGTTTGATGTCAATCTAATGCGTATGCTCGATAGCTCTTCACTAGACAAGGGCCATCAAAAACTCAGATGTCAGGACTCTATAGACTAACGCTAGCCAATGGTCATCAGAAACTCTCATGCCGGGCCTCTATAGACTTACGCTAGACTATAGTCATCAGAAACTCTAATGTCATAACTCTATAGACTTACGCTAGACTATAGTCATCAGAAACTCTAATGTCATAACTTTATAGACTAACGGTGGCCAATTACTACTAGACTCACATTAGGTACGCATTAGGAAAGCGCATTAGACTGACATTAGACAGTTTGAAGATTGTGATGTCGAATGACATTAGCCTGTTTATAGAAGTACATGAAATTTTTTCATAAGGGTTGTCTGCCAAAACAGAGGGCGACTTCGTCGCATAGCTAGATGCTAGCCCGGCAAGAAGGCGGACCTATGCTCTACTCTGGTCCTTTTGGGACCATGTACAGCTACTCTAGTTCCACTCAACAGGTCGTGCTATCTAGCGGGGCACAGTTGAACCAAAACATGTCTGCTATTTCGGAGCCAATGGCAGAATATTGCTCAACGGCTGTTGTTGCTGCTTTGGCTCCCACTGCTTTCGTTCTGTCAACTAGTGTCGGCGACCGCGCAATAAAGCTGGAGAACGTTGTGCACGGAAACAGTGACGTAAGTTGGCCCACTTCTTGAGGTGGGTGATTTGAAGTGTGCAAACTCGATTCAGGTCACTAAAACATGATTTTATTTCAATATAAGCCCTTCCTTGGCGCAAAAATAACACTACGAGGTTTATGGACCTCTATTTAAACAATCAATGTTGACCTTATAGTTGCCTTTAGTGTCGTTTTAAGGTGAAACTTTACTTGCCGACATGTATCGGCGGTAAAGTTCTCGTTCTACGCATTTAATTCTACTGCGCGAACTTTGCTGAGCACGTTGCTTCCTAGCAATGAGCACCACCTTCTTGAAGTACGCTGCCTACAAGTATTGCTTGGTATAGTTGTGTCCTGTTTCAATCAGCGCCCATCTATGAGACTCAATGGCCGTGCTTAAACTCCGCAGGATAACGCTTGATGATTATTTCTCGAAAGGTGACGCTGCTTCCAGTGTGCACTCGGCGACTGGCGAAAATGCTACAGGAGCCGAAGAAACGGTTTGCAGCTGTAGTTATTCACTGCCTGAATACGACTCGTGTGCCAAAAGAACTCAATGAAAACCTATCTGATCATAATGCATGCACGGAAACCACGATTCCTCGCAACGACAATAGTCTTCACCTGTTTAACGGCCAAGATGCCAGAAGTTGCAGCACGACGAGAATCAACGACGTTTGCTAAGGACGGCATGAAAACCAGGC